TAAAACAGAGGTAAAGCATGAATACTTAAAAGAAACTAATGAAGAATATAACCAACGGATGTCTTCTGTTGAATTAAGCCTCCATTTGTCTCAACATATATGTAACCATTTGATTCAGGTAAATCTATAATAGTTAAAAGAAGAGTAAAACATTAAAATGGTGAATATAGTAAACAACCAAAATAAAGAGAAAGAACTGCTTACAGTAAAATAAAGGGAATGAAATCATACCTTCGGAAGACTTGTTTACACAAGGCTTCCACTCCCCACCTTAATAAGAATTTTTCCAAATAGTCAAAATCTACAATATTTCAATAACATATACTTCAGATATGACCACAAATCATGAATCAGCATAAGATAAAAAGCTTAAAAATTAATTGAAAACGTACAAAACCTTAAACATGCAACTACTTCCGTAAACAATTACAATAACAAGTTATACAAGGAACCTAATCAACTAACCCAATTACGCAATGCTACCATGGCAACTGCTTTACCATCCTAACACTGGTACTAAAGTATTGAGTTCGTCTTAGCCTAAATGTAAAAGACTATCATCAAATTATCAATAAACCACCTGTATAATACCGAATTAAAATTTAATCACTCAAAGGAGTTTACGTTTTCAATTGGTTTATACTAGAAGTAGAACCTATGTATTCGGATCCTAATTAGTCCTGAAAGATGGTTAGAATACAATAGGGTCTACTTCTTAGAAAAAAAATAGTAAAATAATTCAAATAATGCTAAAATGATTTCTTGATTCAGCATTCTATACTTACCGAGGCAAAAAGAAAAACAAATCATTGCTAAATTTCTAAGCTTTCAAGACTCTGTAAAATTCATTCTAACATACTTAAGTCTTAACTCAATCACGAAACATAAAAAACATCACGAAAAATACAACTAACTACATTTTCCAAGTTCCTCAAAATTCTATCAAAACCCAAACCTAGAAGAAAAAATAAATGAAAAATAAAGCTTAAAAGTTGAAATGATGCGAGAAACAAACCCAATCCAGGACACTAATTCTTGCAAAATATGATCCGGAATCATAAAACCCAATCAGAAACCAGTGAATCACCGCATCAGCAGAGGAATTGTCTTCGTTCATCTCAACTTTAATCTTCTCGTAAACCTGGGGACATCGGTAACGGAACCAGGAGCCGGTCGGTGTCTAATAACGGGAACCGCATCAAACGAAACGATGCCCATGTAAAGAAGCGTCCCAGAGATGTTCAATTTGAATTTGAAGTAAAATTTCAAGCTTGACTCAAGCTAAAAAAAAAACTTAAATTTATCAGACTTAGCATGATTGAAGTTTAAACTTGAGCTTGATATGTTCGAAGTTTAAACTTCTTTGATCTCAAATTTGAACCTTAAGGGGGAGTTTTGGTTTGGGGGATTGTGGGATTTTGGGAAGGGAATCCCTTTTAGTTAGCTGGGAATTATTAATAGTAGATTTTTTTTTTTTTTTAGGTATATTATCAGGAAAATCATTACTTTTATTTTTTTATGTATTGTTGGATTATTGATGTTTTGGACTAAAATGTCTTTAATTTTTTTTTTCAAAAATATCTTTCTTATGTCATTGAATAATAAAAATTCTACGAAGGTTAAATTACAAATTTATCTTTAAACTATTTTATATTTACAAACAAAATTATAATTAAAATTTTATATAAAGTTCAAGGGTTAAAATAAAATTTTATCCTTTCATTAAACCTTTTATATTTTTAATTTTGTAAAAAAATATATATAAATTTTATGAATTTAATTTTTTTAAAGAAACTATATAAACATTTTTCAACTTGTTAAAAAACAAATATATAATGAGAATAATTTGATCAAATATACATTCTAATAATCTTTTATTCATTTAACCAAACACGGTAATTTTACATTCCTGCTAAACCAACCAAACACAAAATACAACATTCTCAGTAATCCTATTCCCTAATAATCTTATATTCCCACTGATAATCTTACATTCCGTAAACCAAACACACCCTAAGTACATAAAAATATTATATTGCATTTAAAAAACATATAAATGTAAATTAATTTATTAGAATGTGCAAAAAAATTTCGAGTCATATATCAAGTAGTGCGCTCTAACTTTTTAAGAACTTGAGTCAAGTTCGAGTTTGAACCGATTCCATTCAATTAAATGTTGACCAAACTTTAACAAGTCGAACTCGGATAGCTCGCGATTTATCTCATCTCATTTATAATTTTTTTAAAATTTATAAAAACTTAATAAATAAAAAGATAAAAGATAAAGTTATATGCGATGATGATATAATCATGTGTGTGCTTTGTTAGTAAAAACTTTAAATTTTATAAAATATAATACAAATACTAAAACAATTGATAAAATTAAAGTTTAAATATCAATTTAAGAGAAAAACTATTTAGATATAAACTTAAGAGAAATTACCTTATTCATATATTAATTTGATTTTTTTTTAAACATTAATTTAAAAAATATATATTTAAATCTCATTTTTTGAGAGATGGATCTTTTGAGGATGTGGTATAAGAAAGAAAGCAGCCAGGCAATGCAATTTGCAGGTCTAAGGGCTTGTTTGTTTACTTCAGAATGATTAAGCGCTGAATGATTTAAATACTGAATGATTCAGATGCTCTGAATGAATTAGCTCTGAATGTGACATGTTGTTTGATAATGACTCTGAATCATTCAGAATGTACTTCTGTACTGAATCATTCAGTACTGTTTTGCTGAATCAGTCCACACTAAATCAAACAGAGGTGCAAAACAAACGTGCTGAATGTTGAACGGTTCAACATTCAATGCTGAATGGTTCCATTAAGAGACAAACAAACAGCTCCTAAGTCATAATTTTATATCATGTGGTGTCCGTGTTAGTGAGACTGAACCGTTGTCGAATATATATATATATTTTAATAATGTGTGATAATAAAAGTAATTAATCGAAAAGAAGGGATCTAATAAACAAAGTATTGAGAGAATATTTTTAATTTTGCATCATGACAGTAACCAACTCACCACCATTTAGACCTCATAATTATGTCTTTTTTAACATAATCATTTTTTAAATTGTATTACTCAATTTTAATAATTTTCAAAAACTAACCCTTAGTTTCGGATCTGATCCATTGGATTTTAAAACCGACGGTCTTAATTAAAGTTTTTCAAGCCATTTTGAGCCCAAATAACCCAAAATACCTTTTTTCAATTTTAATACTTTTAATGAGTATTAATAAGATTTGAAACTCTAGTGCTTGAAAAAAAACTAAAATACCACCAAATTATAAAATGACCAAAATGCCTTTATCATTGAATTAATACTATTAAAGGCTTAATTTGTTTAAGATGAATATGATGAATCAATATGATCTTCGAACATGCTATAATTCAGGTGGAACCTTAACGGTGTTCAATTAATATCATGAATACTTTTGATGAGCATCTTCAAATATTTGTACCAATTAATTTCGTCTAAATCACGACGTTTTAGAGTAATAACCAAACATAAACACATTAATTAATACAACATATATTAAACAGTGAGAGTCCACGTCTACTATTCTAAATATTCAATAAGTGAGTTTAATCAAGTGATTTTAATGGTAAAAAAATATTATTCTTTCTAGATATTATAAATTCGAATAATTATATTTATATTGTATATACATTATTAATAGATTTTAAAAAAATTAAATAAATATTTTCTTATAATTATTTAAACTAATAAAAAAGTGACTGAAACTATAACGTTGGCAGTTGGCACCACAAGTAAAACCTCGTCGGCGGGCTTTAAATGAGAAAGAAGACGCCAAGTTTTGATAGAGGAGTTTCAACAACTACATTTAAAATGAAGTAATAATTAAAGGTTGAAATTGTAGTTCAAACCCATCTTAAACAGCGCCGCGTGGACTAGAGACCAATCAACTTTTGCCTAACAATCTTTTGTCTTGCCCAAGGAAAATTCTAAGTAACGAAACGCTAGTTAAACCATATTTCCCCAACGCTATTAGAAAGCGTTTGTAAAAGAGTAAAAGTTCCACTGGACAAATTCATGAGTCATGACCGACCATGGACATGATGATATGATGTGTCAAAATGTGTCAAAATGCCAAAGTACAAGTACTAAATTGAGACCCACATTTGGTGATAAAATCGATGTTGATTTTTCTTCTCATCCCGTTGCCAATAGATTAAATCCTACGGCCACAGTATTCTCCATTTCTAAATTATTACATTATAATGTGTTGTTGGTTGATCATAGGCAAATCGAAATTCATGAATCCTTCCGGATTTTACTTTTTCTGTGGGAAAAAAGTTTATTTAAGCAACCTATTCCTATTCAGTTAAATCATAGACAACTTAATAGATTATTTATTATTTATTATTTATTATTATAACTTAAAATTTATATGTCGAGTAAAAATGTAATATAAATAAATTCTTACATATTATAAATTTAAAAGAAAAATAGGATGATTAAAATAGAATAAAAAAATAATTAAATGACTAAAAATGTAGTTTATCTTTAATTTTTTTAATAAAGTTAATGAGTGGGACAATAATATAAAAATTTTAATTTTACAGAAAAAACATTTTAAGAGACAACTTATTACAAAATATATATTTTAGTGGGTAATGATGTATTGAAGTCAAATTAAAAAAAAAACTAATATTAAATAAATACTAGATTTAAACTTACCAACTAGATAAAAACCAAATTTCATAAAAAATATATATATAAATTTCTTTCGAAACATAAATACCAATGAAATGTTAATTTGATTAATATTATTATTTCTATAATAATGAAAATAACTTCATTTTATTATTAAAAAAAAACATAATTTTAGTCATAAAAAAGTTATTCCCACTGAGACGGCTTTAGTAAGAAAACCATAAAGTAATAAATAAACCTAACATTAAAGTTATGCACCTTCTTGAACATCTCTATCGAATAAATTCATTTTTCAAAATTCAAACCCAGAAATCCCATAACATTATTGTTCTAACTTTCACACACATATATATAAAAGTAACTAAATTGGTATTGTTAATTGTTTGATAAATAACTTATTGTTGAACAATATCAATTGATACAGCAAGTAGTAAGTTCCTACTTTCTTTCCGACAAAAAAAAATTCTTGTCCTAGAAGAAAATAGTAAATTATGCTCACCATATCCATATTATTGCACAAGATCCCAGGAGACCTCCAAATCCAAATCAATATCTCCCCTTTCAAAAAGCCACCAGGAGTAGAGAAACCAGAGCCAATAAACCCACTTCCAAATTCCGGCTCGCACCACCAAAATTTTGCTCGATAGGATACAGGCTCCCTGGTGGACCAGTTGTGTATATAACGGATGGTGGAGTAGGTCCAGCTGGACAGCAATGGGACGGAGGCTTTTTCGGTGACGGTGGCGGATACTGCACCGGTGGTGATGTTCCGGCTCGCACCACCAAAATTTGCTCGATAGGATACAGGCTCCCTGGTGGACCAGTTGTGTATATAACGGATGGTGGAGTAGGTCCAGCTGGACAGCTATGGGACGGAGGCTTTTTCGGTGACGGTGGCGGATACTGCACCGGTGGTGATGGTGGTGGATAAAACACCGGTGGTGACGGCGGTGGAGGGCATGCCGGAGGTGAAGGAGGAGGTGGAGAAGGAGGTGGAGGTGGGGAAGGTGGTGGAGGACTTTGTGTACATGATGGGGTACACTTGATGCCTTGATCATCACTTGGTGGTGCCGTGTTCTCATCAAGCTCCCTTGATACCAAGCCGTTGATGGGACATGCAACGGTGGTGATTACGAAGAATATTGACAGGGCTGTTACCGGCAGATTGAACTGGTTTGCTTTCTTCGACATCGCAACGAATCGATCCAATGGACAGAAGATTAGATGAAAAGGAAATTTGTGAAAGATGAAGTGCTTGTGGTTGATGCTGCTGACTACGTTATTAGGTAAATTAAAGACTTTGAAAGGACGAAAACTGAAATTGGGATATAAAAGCCAAGGATTCCATAGTGCAAAATTATGGAGTTAACTGAGACGTGTCCCTTAAGGGCTCTTTTTTGTCTACTTTGCCAATTCCATTACATATAGGACGGTCCAAAAAGTATAGGGTCCCCCACAAACCTTTCTAACTAATGTGGTATTTTCAAGTGCGAACATTACCTTATAATAAAGTAGCCGAATATTAGTTTGACAGTATGGTCCAACGGATATAAAATATGATCGTATTTTTAAAATTTTCATACTTATAATTATTTTTTTTTTATTTTTATTAATAATTTAATTTTGAATCTATTATATTTTTTCTCTATTTTTTATATTGCTCTTAACATAAATTTCTATCTATTAACTTAGTAAAGATTTTAAAAAACGAGTTAAATAAATATAATGTCTAATGACTTCTTCGCCGACAATGCGTTGAATACTTTTTTGTAACGAATTTGTATACCAGTGATAAAGTTATGTGTTTGGTAATAGTGAGAATTGTATTATATAACTAAATAATATGAACTAAAATTGGAGTGGTCCATGTGGAGCACACATGATTAGTGCTTGTGAAAGGAAAGTCTAATAATTGAAGGTTTGACAAATACATATGAGGGATGCCAATCAAATCAACAATGAAGCAAGTGCAAGCTAAGCAACACTACAAATCAATTTGCATGAAAAATTATAAGCACATATGTAGTGGGCAAGAATCCAATTGATTTGGGCTGGGGCTGCATATAAATTTTGGAGCTGTATGATTTAATTTTTCTTTAAGCAGAGGAAAATAATTATTCGATTCTTCGCCAAGATGAATATGTACAGACTAAGGTCACAATTAGTACACATAGTGGGTGAGAAATGGGTATCATAAGTGGAATACAGTCTTAATTCAATTGCAATAGCTTAATTTGCATCAACAAATTGTTGTGTTAATTATATATACTTAGGAAAATGTACAGCAAAATGAAAATATTAACCATGCTAATAATAATAATAATAAATCTAATAGATTGTAATAATTTTGTCGTAGAGTTACTATCTTAAAAGATTGACTTAATGTTAAAATTAGTCCCTCAATATTTGTCAAAATGTTTGTCATTTTGATGTATATTTTTTTTTTGAAGCATTTTGACCCCCAAACGTTTCGTTTTAGTCCAAAAAGGCCTTTAACATTTGATAGAATAATCACTTTATCCCTTATTATTTTTATCTGAGGTGTTTTAGCCCTCAACATATCATTTTAGGTTAAAAAAACTCATATTTTGGAGCATTAATCATGTGTTAACTAATAATTTTTATCTATGGAGATAACTTTTTGCACTAAAGTGAAACTATGGGGTGCCAAAAATGACAATTTTAATAAATGTTGGGGGCTTTTTTTGACATTACGCCTAAAAGACTTAGTCAAATGATTTTTCTTGTAAAAAAGAAAAAATAATTTAATATTAATCTTACGCCAAAATGACTTTTACCAAACTAATATCTTACAAATGTGGCATACAACCACTTCTTTGTATTGCACTATTTGCCAATAAATCTCCCACTAATACAAATAAGCAGAGATTTAAAATAAAGGAAACAAGTAAAAATAAAAACGATAAAATTAATCTTTTTAAAAATATTGTATAAATCAAATATTATATAAATCATTATAAAACTCTCTCAACGTAATTTATTCAATTTACAATGATATATTCGAACGTTAAATATTTGCACAAAGACCAATTAATTTCTCATCTATGTACATATGAAGATGAAGATGCAAGGGAAGCTCTAAGAGAGGGTGTGGAGGATTGACCATATCTTCCATTGCTTTGCTTTGTTATGAATTTACAACGATTTGGCTTCCTCCTTCATTCATTGCCACGAAACTCACCCTTTTCTACCAGGAATAAACAAAGACAAAAATAATTTAATTATTTAGACATGATAATTAAAATAAGAAACATTTATTCGACATATGTAATATACTTATAATGTTTATATTTAAAATTTATATATGTTGCATAATGTGCATTATATTTATTTTTACTTAAAAAAAATGAGAGGCGTTCATTTAATTCTAGGGTCAATATCCAAAATTTTGGCTCAAGGAATATGTTTGAGTCCTAAACCAATTAATTTTGGTAGGCAGAAAAAAAAAATTAATTTCCTAATTACCAGTCCCCTTCATCGCATCGCCGCCGTCTCCGGCCGTACCAGCCTTGCAAAGTTACATGATCTTCTGAGCTACCACCGCCTCGCTTTCACTCTCTTTCATCAACCTCTCCACTTCTCTCTTGGGAACCTTCATCTTCACCCTCATTGCTCGGCACTCATGTTCAAACCCGACCGAACCCTCCTCGGAACCGTTTCTTTGGGAGCTTCGGACAACTGGACCAAGAAGCAAAGCCTGTTGGGCTTCAGTTTCTGACATGGCCGCAATGGCTTAGCTCGAATACCATAATGTTTAACAGCTTCTGATTCTAACAAAACATACCCTGGATAACCTTTAACTACCTCCTCGGGTTTCACCGGTGTCTTCAACTCGAATGTTTCACCATTTATCTTCATCACTTTGCTAGTCTTTATCCCACCAAAACTATTCCCCATTTTCAAGCTATAGATTTTTGTCTCTGACAGATGATGATTAAACAACAAAACTGGTTTGGTTTCTATTATACTTACTTTAAAACACACAAGATTCTCGGTGGGTGAAATATAAGGATATATACATAATTAATTAAGTGTGCGTGGTTGAAGATAAGGGTTCAAGGTCAATAAAGAGCGCGAACCTTTTCGAAAAGGCCAAAAGTTTGTGTTTGACAAACCCAAATAACAAAGCACGTTAAACATCGTTTTCATTGCGTTAATTATCATAATAAGTAAAACTAAATTTCTGGCTTGAAAATAAACCCCCTTAAACAATCCCACAGCCCTACAATAATTTACACATGCCAACACAACTATAGTTTATTAAATACTCAAAATACCATAAGTTTACAAGTTATATTTTTAGGAGTTCAGACACGGAAATTGACATTGAAAGAGTCATATTAATTTGTGAACAGGGGCGGATACAAACATGGGTCTACTCAGGTCATGGCCGGTCCCATACCAAAAAAATAATTTTAGTTTAATTAAATTAAAATTTAAGATTAAATTATTCGTATGATCACTTAATTATTATCATTTTTATTTTGACTACCGATCTTGAATTTTTGTCAATCAAACAATTTAAGTATTTAAGTGTATCAATCAAGTCACTTGTCGTTAATATTTTTTTTAAAGATGATACTTTGTATCACGAACGATTACAAAATAAATCACCTCGAGTACCTTATTAAAAAAAAACCTAATCCTAAATGGGAAAAAAGAGTATACCTTGAGGTGGTAGAGGTGGTAAGTTTCAATAAGCACAAAGCTGAACATCACACAAACCCAAACTCAACTTACTATAAACCCCAAATCCATTCTAAGAAATACAACATAGGGACATGATTGACACACTTAAATAGTTATGTGATACGGCTGACAAAATTTTGAAATCGATAGTCAAAATGAAAGGAAATAATAATTAAGTGGTCATACGAATAGTTTACCCAAAATTTAACTATAATCCTATTTCGTTTAATTTAAATAACTAAAATTCTACTCATAACATATATTACTTTGTAATCACCTTTAGCTTAATAAAAAAAAAACTACAATCCTACTTCTAATTCAATTCTACCTCAATCTTTTTAAAGCTTAAATTTTTAGTGTTATTTTTGAATTAATCATTGGTATCTAATATATTAAACGATCTATTTCTTAAATTTTATGCTTTATTTTTTTCATTTTCTTCTTAATTTCTTATGAATATATGGAGCTTTTAATAGTTTGCTTAGCAATTTTTAAATGTCTCGTTCAAAATTATAGTAAAAATCTAAAAGGTACTCCTCATATCTTATTTTATTCAATCAAATTATTCTTTATTTCTTATTTTATTCATAGTTTCTTAAAATATTTTATCATGTTAGACAAAAATATATTGTTAATCTAACTGATGAAATTAGAATAATAGGGATGAAGTTTGATTATCTTGTTTATTTTTCCTATGTTAAAATATGAATAGAAGCACAATAGATTCTAACTTTTTAAAATTGAAACTCACAACAGAAATAATTTAAACGTTGAGAATGCACATTATAATGTTTCCACCCAAATGAGTAAAATCATATTTACTATCGATATTGACACAACCATTGATAAAGAGAAAGATTCAATCTAGTTAAGGCTGGCGAAGCTTTGCCTAGAAAGGAGCATTCCTTATCTGGGAATTTGCAGGGGTTCACAGGTTTTAAACGTTGCCTGCGGAGGTACTCTATCAAGATATTGACACAAAACTGGCGAGGAAATTACCGGAAAATCAAAGAGTAGTGCACGTGGATTATGACAACTACGATGTGCATGGACATTTGGTTAAAGTAGTGGAGAATACTCCTTTGTAGTCCTTGTTTAAGGTGTAACAACCCGAATATTTACAAAATAATATTTAATTAAAATTGAAGGTTAATTGTGAAAATTAGTAAATTGTTGGTGACTAAATCAAAATTTATGAGAGTTTATAGGCCATTTTAGAAGTAAAGGAAATCCAGGGACCAAGCCTTGAATTTACCCTAAAACAGTCGGTAGCTTTGGGTGATTATATGCGTGCATTTGGTTCTGATTTTCAGAACCAAAATGCTCCCAATTTTCCTTTTCCATACGCCGTTTCCAACTCCGATTCCGACGCCGTCTAAATTCCGATCGTCGTTTTAAAACCATCGTTGTGTTCATCATCGAGCGTGGAACAAATCCTTCAATTTAATTGAAGCGAAACGCTGCCAAACGTTGGGAATTTACAGTCAAAGTCTCGACGTTTTTGTTAGCTCTATCGCCGGGAAAATCTTAAATTCACCGCCGATCGTTGCTCCGTTTACGACACCTCCTGCACCATCGTGTTCCTTGTGTCGTTTCGAGTCCGTCGGTGTCAACCTTGTTCGCCGTCGACGGCGACGCGTGAGGAGGTGGAGCAGTCAAAGTCAAAGATTCGGCCGAGTTGAAATCGAGCTCTCCGCCATTCAAAAAATTTGAACCGATCTTTGTAAGTATCTCAAAATCGCTTAAAATAATTTTTAGAAATTTTTCCGGAATTTTTAGACCCCCGGAGGAGGCCTCACGCGCCGCACGCGCCGCCGCAAGGAGAGTGGAGGGCTGGAAACCGGTTTGACCGGTTTTCAACCGGTTTTGATCGGTTTGACCGGTTTCGACCAGTTTGACCGGTCTGAACCGGTTTGACCGGTCTGACCCGACCCGACCCGACCGTTGACCGTGACCACTGACCGTTGACTTCCTTTGACCAAAACTTAAAATGGCTTTGACCGACCCTTAAACGACTGTAAATATTTTCCGAATATACCTATTCTGATAGTTTTTGACGTCCCGAATCCGTTTCGTCAAATTTGAACCCGAAGGCCTCCAAATTGACGGTCAAAGTGGTTGACTTTGACTTTGACCAAGAATATGAATTTTCGAAAATTCATACTTTATGTTTTTCGACGTCCTGATTCCGATTCCGCAATTCGTTTGGCCAAATTCATACTCGAAATACCCAAAAATGATAGTCAAACCCGAAAAATGCTTATATACTTAAGAATTTTAGCTTTGAACAATTAAGTAAGATTTGAGATTGATTAATTATTATTGTTTGAAGGTACAAGAGACTCTCCGGATCGTTCAACAGCTCGACCCAGCTCTTCTAGATCAGTTAAACCATGTATACCAGTATTCACCCTTTCGAAAACTGTAACAGAGCGTGGTGAAACCAGCAATCAGTAGATCTACTATCTGAACCCATTATCGAGGTGTGTTCATGTTTACTACATAATGGTTTTATATGTTTTGAAATATGGTACATTGAAATCTATGGTTTATTATTGTTGGTACACCAATTTATTGTTGATGATTTATGGACTTTGATGACTGGTATATGAATATTGATTTTGGGATGGATTGAACTACAATTGTATAGCTCTGATCAAGCTAATAAACGGGCCTAATGTGACTCTTGAGGGACCCAAGATGTTTCATTAGGTCGGCTTTCCTTTGTTGTGTGCTTAGGGTAAGCTATATGGACTTATTGACTTGGGCTTAAGGATACAAGCTTCATAGCCTATCCTTAAGTCGGCTTTCTTTTTGCTATGTGCATAAAGTAAGCTATATGGAAAATAATTTTGGGAACTACTGATGGTGTACCAGAAAAGGGTTTAAACTATGATTTTCAAAAGTTAAACTCTTTTACAAATTTGTGAGAATTACTGGACTATGATTTGTTTAATGTACCTATTGTGATTTTATGGTAATGTTGGGACACACTGAGCCTAGCTCACCTTTCAAAAATGTTTTTCCCCTTTCAGATACTGTTGGTTAGATACCTCGGTTCGAGCACTTGGAGGATTAACATATCTCTTGAAGTATATCTGATTGTAATATTTTAAACTTGCAAGTTGACTTTATTCTTGTAACATGGACCTATTTTAAAGTATTGATTTTATAATGATGATACTTTTGTTATTACTATTCAGTTTATCGTGGTTTTGATTTTTAAGATATGTTTTAAATTAATTTATTACTGATTGGTTTTATATTTAAGAGTTGAGTTTTAAAAATTATAATTTATTATAATTTCATGTCATGAATAATGTGGTTTTACATTGATTGGATAACGGTTTTGGAGAATGTCTTTGTGATCCACTAGACTTAGTCGAAACGCATAGGCCGGGTCTAGGGGGTTACATAAGGATTCTCTAGAAGAAGATAAAATGAATATATTGGTTAATAGTTATCACCATCAAGGTGTGAATAGATTGGCACAACAATTTGTAACGATGGCTTTCGCACCGGATGGGTTGATCGAAGGGTTATATGACACTGATGCATATAACCCAGAAGAGGGTATATTTAATTATTTATAACGGGACTTCAATTCCATCCGGAGAGAATGAGACGACCTGGTTCCGAAGAATTAGATTATTTAGGATGTCATCTGCTTATCAGGTTTGTCTACAATTCATCCCTTATTATTTTGAGTTTCTTCTTTCTGCGGGAATTTGTGAAGGCTGTGATTGCTTATCAGAAGAAACTCAATAGTTCAACATCTTTACCGAAGCCATTGAAGCTTAACAAAGAAATGGAGGACAAAAGCAGAACCATAGTCCGGAGCTTCTCACTTGCCGAGGGTGTGGAGATGTTTCTGACTCATCATAACTAAAGAGATTATACCGCGATCTCTCTACTGGTCAAAGAACGTTGAGATGCCCTCACTAAAACTATAATATTTTATCTCTAGCCATCACAAAACATTGAGATGCTACCATTTTTCCTTCATCCTATCTAAATGTCGGGAACCTTTCACTGAATGTATAAGCGCTCAGGCAACTCCGCTATGCTGGCAAATTGCATGCCTAATTTCTAAGAAAATTAGGAATAACAACATTCCCAACTATTGCGATTTTCAGATAGAAGGCAAAATTATGAAAGGATGCCGAGGTACTTGGCCACAGGTTTAACACGGAGACACCGACTTGGTGTAATCCAAAAGTTGAAGTAGGAAAAGAATCAAAATTTCAATGAATGGATACTCTTATATCCAAGCCATTATCACTCTCTTCTTAAACCATATAGCGGCATTTAGTTCGAAAAAAATCATCACTAAATAATAATTTATTATCAACAATAATTGTTGAAAAGAATATATATAACAAGTATAATTTGGTAAAATATTATATTCATGTTAAACAAACCAAATAAAGTAACAGGAGTAGATGCATTAAGCCCTCTAGGAGAGAAAGTGCATCTTCACTATTTGAGAAACATTGTAAAATTTAGTTTAAAGTGTTGAGGGGGAGAAAAGAAAAAAAATAAAGAAATATGTATATCCAATATTCTTTTTAGAAAATGAGTACTAAAATTTTGGACCCCAATTTTTGAATTTCTAAATCCGTCATTGCAAGTTAGTACAATACAAGAGAAATATGACACTCTAATAAAATCTTATTTTTAAAGTTAATTTCACACCATGTGAACCAAACGCCCTTTTAGAAACCAAATCTTCATGCTTCTCGGAATCGGGTTCATTTGAAAGGCAAACCTCAGAAGAGGTGGAATTGCTCGAAGAGTTGATCACTCTTTCCAATATCTTAGTTGCATTATCTGGGGCATGTCTTACGGTACCATAGTTCTCTGAAATGCCATCCAGTTGTGCTGAAGTTGCATGGTTGGTACCATCACATTCTTTCTCCGATAGCTCAACTCCTTATCCAAACATATTCACGAATTCCTTATCTTTCAACAGCTACTCTCAATTGAGCTCTCACCATAGCTACCTAGAAACAAAAGGAAGTTGATGTTAAAAAGGCTGGCCAATATAGGGAAAAATGAATGAATGAAACACACGTTCTTGAACCTCCTCTAAGATATGAAACTGACCATATGGGTTTTCCCTAAACCTGTCTCCAGCTTCCATATAACACATTAAAATTGGGAAGAAAAACTTTTGGCAGTTTCATCCTTAAATCAAGATACAATAAACTTCATATAGATTTAGCTACACCATAACATATTAAGACAAAATGCGCATATATGCAAATACAGTTTTCATATAATTAGCATTATAACGATAGTTTTAGTTGGTTACCATCGAGTAGGTCCATGGCTGAGTTGGACCAGCTTCGGACAAGTTCATGCATGGTATCGGATGTCAATAACTTATGAAGTTTTTTTTTTCATATATTAGAATTCGAATTTGATTCATATCCTAAAATTCTTAGAATAATTTGAATAGATTTTTCTTATAATAAAAAAATTATCTCCGATCGATCTTAAATAGCGTTAATGTGATGTGGCTTATTAATACACCACAAGTTTAATTGACAATTACACCAGTAAATTATATTCTTAAATATATTATAATAATTTAAAATATTATATATTATTTAAGAGATGTTACTTGGATGTATATATCTTAGTACATTGTGTTAATTAGATTTTTTTTGGTTGCCATTACAGTTTTCAAGGTTTCGTCCTAACTAATTCGAACTGACCCGAGTAGCATACCTAATTTTGGCGGGTGAGTCTTTCAGTGGAGATTTTCTGCATACGCAAAGACTTAAACTCGATACCTACTCAAGTGATATCAAGCTGCTTATCACTTGAACCAATCCTGTTGATTGTTAATTAGATTTTAATATATTCATACCGTATCCATATTTCTTATACTACATAAATAGTGTAGTAGTATTATATTTCTTGTATTTCATAATACAATATAAATTATGCATTTTAAAATTAATTAATTTTAAGATTTTGATATTTTTTATTTGTACGATCATTCTTTGAAAATTCATAATGAAACACGGCCAAATATTTCATCCCACAACATCAATACTAATATTGGAGTGATGCATACGATATACTAATCATTTTGTTTCATTCTCTCTATATAAAATTATAGAAAGTATGTGATTTGTTTATCAATCGCAATAGAAAATGGTGGGGAATTAAAACATACGTGGTTTCAAAGTTTCCTTCTAATGAATACAAGTGGCCAAATACATAAAACTAGCTATTTACCTAAACCGTGTGATAAACAGTTTATATAACCTTTATTTAATAGGATATTGCAGGACTTACCAGCTATAGTCTGATATGCATATAACAGTATTCATAATCTACTAGAAGCATTTATGAATTAATCCGGGTTGGGTTCAGATAAGGAATATATATAGCCAAAAATAAATAAATTTATGGTAAATGTTAAAAACTATTGGCAGAACAAAATGAGGTTTTGGGTTGGGTTGGGATCGAACCTAAGCAAGGGAAAAATTTACTATTAGGGGCACCGACTTAATAGTTTTATTTTCCATCAAAGGCAGAACATTGTATTCCAGACTCCAGTGGTGCTCCTTTCAAAAATTGTTAGCTTCAGAATCAAATTTTGCAGTTGTTCATCAACTTCAACTTTAGACCTGCAAAAGTCAATCACCGTGCCTTCAACATCATGGATATGGAAACTACATTCAGTCAAACCTCAAGCATTAAGGTATATATATATATATATATTCAACATAAGCATGTTATATATTACCTTGAGGCCTAACCAAATAGATAAATCAAAGGAACAAAAATTTTCTCCATTGTTATGTGAATCAATGAATGATGATCTCATTTAATATGATGCTTCTTCAGTTTTCTTTGGAGACTTCCCATACCTTTTACGGTTATCTGATGGATCATGCTGTTGAAATTGCAAAGCCATTAGCTGGAACAACAGATGAGAGACGAATGTTACGAATTCTGTTTCTACGAAGAGAATTCGGGTCAATTCCTGCCTTATGAGCTGCAATTACACCAATGGCTTCCCAATAGTTTTTTACCTTAATCTGCACAAAGGATGGCATTGCATTGGTTAACAAGTGTTTACGCTTTTGGTTTTAATTCTATGTATCATTCCACTGCCTTCAATTACAGCACCTCATTTTTATATAAACATGGCCTCTGACAATAAAAATTCAAGGAAAAATATCTTCATTTCAAACCTGGTTTAACAAAATAAAAATTCTGAACACAACAGGACGAACAAGTATCTTTCATTAAAGACGAGATGGCAGATAATCTTGCTTTCATCAGTGTTTCTAGAAATAATAAACAAATGGCTGTGAGGTTGGAGTCGAATGAAACTGATGGGGATAATTAAGCCGTGTTAATGAAATACATACTAGATTTTCCTTCTCTTTTTTTCTTCCATTCTTTTCGTTCTGTGAAATATTTACTTATGAATCTTGCAATCACGTCAGATTTGTAACTCGTCTGTCTCACTCATTTTAATGCCATCATTCTCAACTGTTAATGTTTTTTTAGGGAGACCAAATGTGGAAACATGAGGGATAGAGAAGAGAGAATAAACATGTTGCTTCAGAAAAGATTCAAGAGAATATTTATCAACCATTACGCATCATTGGTGATACATAAAATTATCGAGTGAAAAAAAAAGAAAGTGATAATAAAAAATTAAGCCAAAATTAGATGTCATACCACTTTGATCCCAAGTTTATCTGCAGTGTCATTTAGAATTGTTTCATTTTCCTCCACACAAATTATTAGAGGCTGTAAAGAGGGAAAAAAAGGCGGGGTGAAGAGAGAATAAAGGAATGTCAGTATATAGAATTTGCAGCAAATTGAAGTTACTAATGGTTAACATTATAAGATGTTTTTGGTTAACCAAGAAAGTATGGAGTCAAAATGCTAGTAACCACATTTGCCTTCAGTTGGTAGAAATGAAAGGAAAAGTTTTAATCTAATGGTTGAGCTACAAATTACACATTTTTATGAATCTAAATCATTAGATAAATTTTGTCCCTTTTTTTACCATAAAAGGAAAAGCATAGATAGTTTGCCAACAAATTTGTACCTTACTTCTCTTGCTTCTTGCAAAAGCAAGAGCACCATCTCCTCCACAAGCATCTATCGGAAGAATAACACTGTCAACATCACTGGCAAAGATACAACCCTTTGCCGAGGACTCCGGGTTTCTAACCAAGTACTGTGGTGCATTACTAAGTCCAGCAAGGACACATGGCAAAAATGTGTACCCTATCTGGTCAAAAGAATGAAATAGAGACATAAGCATGAGTATGCAGGGGAGTGCATGCATGCAAGTATGCATATATGATGTGTGTCTTTGTGATGATAAAAGCAATGTAAAATATTCAGTCAAAAAATAGTGAACAACTAATCATATATTTCTTTTTTATTGTCTAATCTATTTATTATGCTCTTCTATCAATGTGGCACGAGGGAGGGAGAACACAAATTCTTTTCATAAAACTTCACAAACCTCCTCAGCAGCTGATTTTGGGCTAAGAGATGAGGTTAAAGGAAGGGGAGATAGTGCAGGCGCATGTGCACAAGGTATCTGAAATTCTTTCACCACAAGATGACTTATTATTGCCTCCACTCCGGCCAATATATCTATTCCCTGAAAGCATGTGCATGACTTGGTATCAGATAAAACTATTTTAAAACAAATTAAATTCAGAAGTGGCTTAGGCGGCATACAACATCCCTTCTAAATTAAAGATGAACACGGAATTGGTAATCAAATGAGACTTAAAAATAGAAAATCAAATGTCAAATTTATCCAAGGGGGGATGAAGGCAAGCCATTGAAGAATTAAACTATTAATATTTTCTAGTTTTAATTGTAATTTTAATGTAAATTTAGGATATATTAGATAACTTAGGTTATTTTATTAGTTAATATTTTGATTAATTTTCAAGCACTAGGGTTTTAGGGTGACTAGCTATTGTGTTTTTATCATTGAAGATTAAACTATTAATATGTTCTAGTTTTAATTGTAATTTTAATGTAAATTTAGGATATATTAGATAACTTAGGTTATTTTATTAGTTAATATTTTGATTAATTTTCAAGCACTAGGGTTTTAGGGTGACTAGCTATTGTGTTTTTATTAGTGTTAGGGTTTAACTTATGAAAAAACCTATGCTATTTTAGTTTCTAGGAGGATTTTGTTTCTGATACATAGATTTTGAGAATTCTTGAGGATTTCAGATTATCAATGGAGTGCTATAGTTTGAAAGTATTCCTTAAGCTGTTATACACCAACAATTTTCAACTTAATATAGTCCATAACGGCAGTGGATAATCAATTCTCATAAATTTAGGGACTTATTAAAGCCTATGTTATTTCAATGTCCACTAGGTTTTGGTTTATGAGATACTGAAATTTCTGATATTTGAAACAGAAGGCTTAAGAATCCATGAGACTATGGAGATTTGGGTCAAGATTTACATACTTTTACTTGAGGCTGTTATTTATTATTTGAGAGTACATGTTCTATGTCAATGAAGCTCAGGTATCGTAATAAAGTTTGGAAATGCAAGGGAAGTTATAGCCATGGCTCAAGCAGTGCTCATCAGTACTGAGCTCATTTAAAATCAATTTCAATGCAAATTTCAAATTAATACAAATCACTAACAAGAGAACAGAAAGCTGTGCAGAGAGAAAAGGAGAGGGGAGAAAGAAAGCCATTATTAGCATTTATTATTAATCTATGATATTCAAAAGCCAGTAATTGCAAAACTAATTAGAGGACTTCTTCTAACGATGTCAATAGTTAGGTAATTTGAATAAAACATCTAATTAGAATACTTTCTGAAATGGTAACATAACAATTTTTTGCATTTTACTCAAGAAATCAAGGAGGAGATATGATTGCCTTACAATACCAAGTCGATAGTCATCAAGATCATCCATTTCATCATCTGGAAAGCGCCCAACAACAGCAACAGCATCCACTTGTGATCGTTCAACTAAATTCTGAACAGCCCGAAGTAAAGAATCAGGGTGTTTAATCCTACCCGTTGATTGCCCAGTAGTTGGATTGATCCATTTTTTTACCTGAAAAACTTGTTTTAGTCTACAGAGCATCAGGTTATTCTCTTGGCTTTTATAAAGTCAAATTTTCTCATCAACAAAGATCAAGAACAACAATATTAAGCAGTGACATGGCAGCTCCAACCTTCAAAGTTTCTCCCCAAAACATGAAAGCAATAGTGCAAGTTTGATACAAGGAGATGCAATTTATAATATACTGTAATTGATGTTTATCTTTTTTAGCCAGTAGAGTACCAGCATAGAGCAGAAACTATAAAATTCTATTGCTTGAAATATTTTACAGTTTGTGTTAAGAGTTCAGAACTTTAAATATCTTTTCTCAACTAAATCAAATTGGTACCTCTAATGGGGTGTCAGTGACAACATATTCAACAACTGGCAATCCAAGGGAAGCCCTTGTGGCATCAGCCACTTGCAAATGGCGGGTTCGAAGATGCTCTTCTATGCCAGCATCAAGAACCAATCCCACCTGCATCAAGTCAAAATATCGGAAAAGTTAAATGCTTAGAATCCTAAAACAACCAACTATGAAACTATGAGTAACATTGTAATAATGCATATCATGTACCAACTCAAACTGAATGTTCATCATTATTTTTCAAATACATCAAAATCCTGCTGATTTCCTTTTTGTTTCCTCTCCTTTAACCCTTCAAACTCTTACTTTTTCTACATTCAATATGAACTTTTCATATTTTTTGTACACTTGCAGCATTACAAATCATAAAAGAGTTCAACATTTATCAACAAAGAAAAAATAATTGAAACTCAAACCTAAAAAAAAATTGAAACGAATAAGGAAATGAGAAATTAAGAATAAACAAAACCTTGTTTTGATGAACAGGTTCAAGAGCCCATAAACCTTGGGCGAATCTATCAACATACATTACATTGGGCATGGGCCAGTATAACATTGCTGCATTTAAAACCTACAAAATAGTAATAGTATTAATTTCATCCCATAAAATTTTATTTATTTGAAACCTTAACGAAGAACGAAAAGGAAAACTTAGAAGCTTACATTAGGATGTGAAATAAGACAATCAACGACAGAGGATAAGGCTCGAGCAACAGGCAAAGCATCACCGGCAAATCCTCCGATGCTGGCCCCCACTCCCGTCGGCACTATCATTACGCTTGTGTACTTCCTCTTACACTGAATCCGTTCCCGAAAGAAAAATATATGTATGTTCTACAATCAAAAAAAGAAAAAGGTTAAGAGAACTAAGTAACTGACCTTATTAGCGGAGTGAGGAGCGTAGCAGGTGATGGGAGGTCGGATGGACGGTCGTGATTTGATGGCGAATTGATTACGATTCGGCAGCGATTGCCACGGACGGCAAAGATTGAGATATGCCGTTGCCGCCATTGTTTGGCGGAAGAAACAAATATTAAAATGATATAGCTGTTTTGGCTCGACTACCTTAATTTTAACTTTTGGATGACCAAAAGATAGAAATGGATAACCCACGCGGCAAAGGCGGAAGGCCACTCTCACTTCGCGGATTGACGGTCTTGCCCCTATATTCCTTTCCTATCCATGGCCCGGTTGATTTATCCGGTTCGAGTCCGACGTGGACCATAAATTGTATTCTGCCGTTTGATCGGCCCGAATATAATTTAAATATTTTATAATATGTAATTTGAAATCTAATTATATAAATGTTAATATAAAATCATATTTTAAAATAAACATATATAATTTACGCTGATCGAGTAAAGTTTGATCCCAACTTATTTTTTTTAATCAAACCCTAGTCCATCCCGATTGATCGCTTTATTCCTTACAATTATTTTTTTAGCTTTTTTCTTGTATTGAAGTTATTTGTGTTACTTTAGTTGTGTTGTACCCCTCCAAAGATATTACTGAAGTTTAAATTTGGTGTTAATTTAAGTTTAATAATAATGTGATCGTTTCTCTACCTGTAATACAATTGATAAAATAGCATCTTATTCAAAGTTTGGCAAAGGAAAATCTATGATGATGCTCATCTTTATTGGAGCATAATTGGGTGATTGTAGTATGTATGTCTTACCCGACCAAACATAATTTATGGTGTCAATAAGGTCAATCAGTATATGAACAAACCACATGATATTCATTGAAGGATTATTAAGTATATCTTTAGGTACTTAAATGATACACTTGGTCATAGGTTATTCTTCGAAGGCGCATGGTCATACGTTATCCCACAATAAACTACTTTGACGGCTGAGCACAAACTCCAATTGTAGTAACCCATGTGGCATTAGTTTCTCATGATATCTGAACAGACAAAACTTATAGTAATAATTCCATCCTAATCTAAATAAACATGACAGTCGATTGAAATAGTTTAGTTGATTTGAGAAACCATACGAAACAATTAACTAAATTAAAGTAGCCATCAAAGAATTACCTAATCCATTACTCCAAAAGAATTAAACCACAAAATAAACAACTGTTAAATAGCTAAGGGTTACTTTAATTTATTAATTACAAATATTACTTCAGTAACTTTGAAGTTCTGAGACAAAAGCACATGGCAAACACCCGCAGGGATTGGAAGTCAAGGGCTCGGATACATGTCAATGTCGAATGTCCTTCAGTTATCTTGATGATGATCATCCTTTTTTTTTCGATAAAGATGATCCATTTGTGCTTTTTATTTAAATGAGGATTTTGATATTTAATCTTACATTTCACAAAAGTATACAAAGTTACCTAATACATGCTACGAACTTATGAAAAGTATACAAAGGTGTGTATTCATTTATAATTATATAAAAACCTAAGTAAATTAATTGCAATTAGTTCATTACAAGAAATCCGTACGCATTACAACATTAAAAACGAAAATTTGAAAGAAAGAAAAAATCCTTCACAAAGACATCAAACACCAAAACTCAACCTGTCCTAAACAACAAATTTAAGCTCTTGGCCGTCAAAACTGGTTACATGATGGAACATGCGTTGGGGTTTTCATCGCTAAAGAGAGTGACGAACTTCTCATCGACGGCGTTCGGACTCGGCAATGCTTGCTCCGTCTTTTTGACGTACCCCGACGGCGCTTTCTTGTCGTAAGCTTGAGCAACGTAAGGGTATGCCACTAAGTTGTAAGGGACGTATGGCCAAAACTCAGCTCTTTTCCCGGTGCTTTTCACTTTCTTTAGCACCTTGTTTGGCTCAACGTATCCTGTAACGGTCACTCGGCTTTGCTTCCGGTTCACGTCCACCGATTTCACGCCTAATCAAGATTAAAATAAAATAAAAATACTATGAATAATTTTTTTTTAAATGGAAAGAAGCAATTTGCGGTAAAGTTTTAAATATGTGTGCAGTTGCTACTTTGTTAAGGGTGTATTTGGTTTGTGAGAATCAGTAATACATTAATTAGGGTAAAAGGACTTTAAAATTTTAATGTCCGGAAACACGAAATAGAAAGATGAAATATTTCCCAACCGCTACTTTGTTTCCTGAGAAACTTATTTGTTCTCTTCCTTATATATATATATATATATAATATACACATACATGTTTCCCTTTCTTGTCAAAGCAGACTAAATTTATTGGTAAATTCAAGACTTCTGCAGTACGGGAAGAACCATACAAGGAAGCTGTCAGAGATACCATCCTCTCCTTTGACTTAATTATTTAATGGGATGACAAAACCCGTTTTATAAGGTGAAGAACAAGATTTTAAAGAAAAACGAGAGCTTTGAAACTGCACCTTTCATGGAGGAAACAGAGTTCTTGACTCTCCTTTCACAGCCATCACAGTCCATCTTAACCTTGATCTCAACAGTCTGCATATCAAAAACACATAATCCGCAAGCTTGAAAAAAAAACAAGCTGAAAAGGCACGATGAAGTGATGTAATAATATACCTGCATGACTTTACGCTTCTTCTTCTTGCTGTGAACAGTTATTAAATCAGAAATATAGTCAGAAAGAGAGTCCAAAGCACCCATTTTTCCGATACAGAAATCTGAGAAGGAGAGAAATGGAGGTGTCGAAGTGTGTTTGTCTTTGGACATGGAACAAAATATGTGATGCTGGTGGGATATTTATAGGAGGGAAAAACGATAATGGTGTCATATAAAAGGAGAATAAATCAATATTAGTTTAGAACCAAGTTGTGGTTGGAGTTTACATATATGATAAATTATGATGATGACTTCTGTCCCTTAATCATCTCAATCTCTCCGAATTATCATGGCACTACAACTCCATCTTCTGGTTTTTGTCGTTTTGTGCGACCGATTTATTAGTATTTATAAAAATTAATCACTTAATTAATTAATATATGGAGCTGTCGTCTGCCTGTTTGCTTTGGTGAGAAGAAAGGGGGGAAATATTATAATGTTTTAATGCTTTGGAGCTGAATATCCGCGTTGATTTCCTGTACAGAGGCCTACGTACAGTTGTTCTTCGCAAACCTTATAATGTTAAGTAACAATTGGGTTAGGCTAAAAGTTCACAGTTTCTTCAATTTTAATTACTAATGTTCTGTTTGAAGCATTAAATGTGATGGGTGACATGATATTAAGTGTCAATAGGTCAATCTTCCACAAAATAATATGTAAATTATTTGTCCCCCTAGGCCCCCACCTTTTATTGTGGAGAGATTGCTACCATGTTTTTTTATTTTTTATTGTGTTCAATAATTGCTTTACTAGTTATGATGGAGAAAGCAGATAATTTCACATATAATAAGGAAAAAAATGGAAACTGCATATCAATAATTTAATAATAACGAGTCAGTATGTAAATATATTCAAAATCAATTCTTATAATATTAATATTAATTTATATAATTAAAATTAATTATTATAATGTATAAAACGTTATTTCAATATATGCTTATTTTAATGTTAAAATAACTTTAAGCGAAAAAATTATTAGTAGATACGAACACATGATCTTATGTTAAAGAGGTAAACTTTTAAAATTTAAAAAATGAATAAACTTCTAAAATCTTAGTAACACAAATAAATTGTCAATTGAAATTATAAAGAATTGTATATTCTATATATTAATTTAAAATTTTCAGATATAACTATCTAGATCACCCCTCAATCCATACGTAATTAATGGGGTGAAATGTATGAGTAGTCAAGTCTTTAGTGATGCTAGCTTTAGATTTTATTGGAAACTACCACTAAATGTAAACTATTGTCGTGTATCATTAGGTATTCCAAACCTTTTTACAATAAAACTGCAAAACCATAGTATTTAAGAAAACTACTAATCCATCTTTTAATGACAGACTTTTAAGGAAAGTAACTCATGAAATGTCTTTTTTCTTAAATTTAGCAAAAATAATAAATAAAAACAATAAATAATTAACCTGCATAAAAGTACATGCATGCTCAAGTTTTATCATGTCCTGTTTATGGTAAAAAGGGAAATGTGTTTTGAGTCTAGAAAGCAATGAGTATGGGAGCAATAATGTTCAACAAAAACAAGAAAGAAAGAAAGAAAATAATAGAATTTTCGCCATTTGGCATAAATATGAGTGGGAGACGGGATTTAATGAAATGGGTCATGTACCTTACAGACAACTACAAGGCACACATTTAACCATCTCTTCGAGGATGATTTTCATGGTTCACGGAATGCTTCCCCACCTCCATAATGCCTCTATGTCATTTTCTATTTCTATTTATTTATTAATGATTGACTAGAATAGTGTTTCGTGTTAATAAATAGTAAATTTCATTGAGATTTGAACCCTACTAGAAGGAATTCGTCATTTTTTGTAACACATCACAACTGTTAAGAGGATATAGGAATTCAATCCACCAATAGTTTTGGTGGTAAAAGAAGAAAATATTTTTTTAAAAAATTAAATTTAAATAATTACAATTATAAGATTAATATTATCGATTAATTAAGAAAAATCTAAATAAATATTATCTAATAATCACTTCAAACTACTTTTAAAAAAATAATTACTTTTGTGAATAGTTAGTTTTTGCATGTTTATGAGGAATTGAAAAATAGAGTGAAAAATATGTCGAAGTAGCTAAAAAAGTTGTCGTGCTCCCCTCGTTCCTACACCTTGCTGACTATCAAGAATGGATCCATCCTATTTCCACTGCGGCACTGCCTTCGAGGTCTAATTCTTAAACTATCTTTTGCTCCCGTGTGTAAAAATTTTACTATTATATTTCATACTTATATGTTTTAATTTTGTTTGATTCTTCATTTTTCTCATATGAATTAATAGTTTTAACTTTATTTTGATAAAATATTTAATTATTGTCCATTTTAGGATTATTTAGAATAAATTTCTTAATTCAATCGTGATTATATGATATGTTTAGGTACGATATATTAAGATAAATGCTATTTATTCGTCAGCTTTACATTGTCCAGTTAATTTGGTTGTGTGATGCCGTTATGTTTGTTTTTGAAGTGGTTTGAGTTATTAAGGTAGTGTTTGTTTTTACAGAGGTAAAAGGCCTGCAGACCACATCTGCAGGCATCTGCAGTAGAAGAAGTAGACCAAAAGTCTACTGTCTGCAAGAAGAAGACTGTTTGTTTTTTAACGTCTGCAGACTGCTAAAATGAACTGAAATATAAATAAACTGATTTTTTAAATTTAAAAGAGTTTTGCAATACCGAGATTTAAATAATTTTAGTTTTACAATACTGAAATTTAAATAATCCATACAACTACAATAATAAATTATTTAAAATAAATCAATTCATATTTTAAAATAAATCAATCCATACTAATAAATTATTTAAAATAAATCAATCCATACAACTACAATAATAAATCAATCCATATTTTAAAATAAATCAATCCATACTAATAAATTATTTAAAATAAATCAATCCATATTTAAATAAATCAATCCATACTAATAAATTATTTAAAATAAATCAATCCATACAACTACAATAATAAATCAATCCATATTTTAAAATAAATCAATCCATAATAATAAATTATTTAAAATAAATCAATCCATATTTTAAAAATAAATCAATCCATACTAATAAATTATTTAAAATAAATTAATCCATATTTTAAAATAAATCAATCCATACTAATAAATTATTTAAAATAAATTATTTTAAAATAAATCAATCCATATTTTATAATAATTTATTTTAAAATAAATTATTTTATAATAAATTATTTTATCATAAATTATTTTAAAATAAATTATTTTAAAATAAATAACCTTATTAAATTATTTTAAATTATTTAAATAAATAACTATATTTTATAATTGTTCTTGAAGAGGTTTGAAGACATAAAACCAAGTCTGCACCAAGAAGAGCTCGCACAGACGTTTGAAGAGCTTCTGTCTTCTAAAAAACAAACAGTCTGCGAAGCCTAATGTCTGCGCGACGCAGACATAAATGCTTTGAAGAGTTTGCACAGTGAAAACAAACACCACCTAACTTTTTGTTGTGGGTTAGGTTGTTAGAGTGTATTCAGTTTGTTGGCTTTATTGTGGGTCAAATTTATAGTGTTGACTTATTCGAGCATTGGACTATATAAATGGAAGAAGAATAAAGGGTCGAGATTTGTGTTATCTTTAAGCTTACATTTTTCCTTATTTAAATCTAGCAAACCTAGTTTTTTCTATGCAATCATTGTCATTTGTTTCTCATGGTTATTATTCATCGCTCCAACCGTGACCATTAATTGCATCAGTTTTTTCAAGACTCGCATCACGTTTCCCTGCAACATTGAAGATTGTACTTGCTCACTTCATTATTTGTAGCGTTATCTTTTGGTCTCTTTCTTGCTTCTTAAAAAAAAAATTAGTTTACTTTGTATTTTTCTTGTCATCGTCTTCCTATGTAGTATTTTCTTTATAAATAATTATTTTTAGAAATTGTATCTTATATTTTTGTACGGTATCAGAGTCTGCTGATCCAAACACCGATAGAAAATCAAGTAAAAAATATATAATTTTTTGTGCTCAGATCAATTTTCGTGGTGATCAACCCTTCTAATTCAACAATCATACCTATCATTGAAAGTGATTATATTCAAGTTGTAAATCGTCAAGCGGAAGCAACATTTGCCAATAAGTATGTTAATGTTCGTCTTGACGATACTAATTTCCTTATTTGAAAGCGGTAGGTCATTCTCATGATTTGAGGTTATGAACTTGAGCATTTTTTTTTATGAATTTACATCTGTTCCACCACAGACAAAGGTAGATGAGAGTGGACAACTGGTGACAAATCTAACATATAATCAGTACAACACGTAGGATAGCTATATAGCATCATGGTTATTATCCACTATAAGTCTGCTAATTCTACCACAATCGGTAAAAGTAGAGACAAATGTTATATCAAGGAGTATTGTTCTCAAGCTGTATTTAAACTTACTACTACTAAAATAATGAGCTTACATTATCGGTTGAGATATCCCAAGAAAGGGAAACTATCAATATGTGAGTTCATAACATAAATCAAGAAGATTTGTGATCTCTTGTCCACAGTGACAGAACACAAGAGAGACTAACAAGGGTCATGGGCCCTCAAAATTTAAAAATTATAATTTAGACTCTTTAATTTTTTTTTAGAAATTCATATTAACTTTAAAATTTTTAAATGTTTTTAATTAAATATCCTCCCATAACTTTTAAAAATTCTCATTAACTCTATCAAAATTTCAAACATTTTTGTTAGATCTTAACTTTTTGGGAAAAATATAAACTAAATCCTTCAAGAAAATTTAAAATTTTAATTTAAACCTCTGATTTTTTTTATAATTTTAAGTTAACCCCCTAAATTATATCATCAAGTTCCGCAAGTGGAAGTCTAGTGTCGGAGGTCAAACAAATTGCCACACTCCTCAACGGAGTGCCTTCCGAGTTTGAGCCCTTTGTGGCTGTTATCACAGTGAGTTGTGAGTCCTATATATTTGATATTGTGACGTATGTGCTTATTGATTGATGTAAGGTCTTATATTAAGGATCCAATAAGTGTGTCAGTCAGCATCAACATGACAAGGCATGAACGTGGATGAGGTGAAGGAAGTCAATTATTCTCATGAGATCGC